TCCCTCAGACCCAGGGGTCCAGGCCCCCAGCCCCTCCTCCCTCAGACCCAGGAGTCCAGGCCCCCAGCCCACCCCTCTCCTGCAGCCTTAAACAACTCACACATCTTGGGACCTCCAGAATCTGTGTCCCTAACACTCAACCACTCTACAGCCTCAAGGTCCAGCCCCTGCTCCCCTTAGGGACCGAGGACTCTGACCACCTGCCCGGCTTCACTCTCAGGTGCTGCCCACCTCCGGCCGTTTAACCCTTGTCTCCTCCTGACCCGGGCTTCGACCTCCAGACCTCACCTTCTCCAAGGCTTGCCTGACCCTTCACTGCCCGCTGTGGTCAGTGCCCGGCACTTAGAGCCCATGCCAGCAGAGGCCTGCCCAGGAGCAAGACCCCGCCCCCACCTAGGGGTCGCAAGCCCCGCCCTTGGCCCCGCCCCTTCTACCCCACTCGGGGCAGAGCGACATCGTGTGTTGACTCCCGGAACTGGCTGTGGACAGACAAATGTCTCAGTCCCAGGAGCTCAGTCCCTCCTCCCTTAGACCCAGAAGTCCAGGCCCCCGGGCCCTCATTCCTCAGACCCAGGAGTCTGGACGCAAGCCCCCTCCCTCAGACCCAGAAGCCGGGACCCCCAGCCCCTCCTCCCTCAGACCCGGGACTCCGGACCCCCAGCCCCTCCTCCCTCAGACCCAGAAGCCCAGACCCCCAGCCCCTCCTCCCTCAGACTCAGAAGCCCAGACCCCCAGCCCCCTCCCTCAGACCCAGAAGCCCGAACCCCCAAGCCCCTCCTCCCTCAGACCCAGGAGTCCAGGCCCCCAGCCCCTCCTCCCTCAGACCCAGAAGCCCGGACCCCCAGGCCCCTCCTCCCTCAGACCCGGGAGTCCAGACACCCTGTACAGGATGAAATCATTTTCTAGCTGGCCCCTGCATTGACCCCACCCAGCTGCCCCATCAATGCCCCATTGACAGGTCAGACGCAAGTGTTCCGCAAGGGATGTCCAGGGGATGAGACACTGGGGTCCTGTTTTGGGGAAAGGATGAGACAATGAGATTCCAGAATGATGCAGTGAGAGATGATCTCAGACTTGGGGCGGAGGGGAAGCAGGTGGTGGAGCAACTGGGAAGAGGGGCTTGAGGGGAGAGGGGAGGGGAGGGGAGGCCCAAGTTCCGGGTCTGCAGACTTCAAGTGGAGGGTGCTAGGCAGGGACCCCTGGGGCTGAGTGAGGGGGGCTGGGGGCCCGGAGGGCCACACTTACCCCTCAGGTTTATAGGGAGATGACCGATGTGAATTCACTTAACTCTTTTTAAACAAACTTTTTATTTCAGAATAATTTGAGGTTTATAGAATGGCTGCAAAGGGTCGTGCTGAGAGCTCCTGCTTCCCCCTCACCCAGCTCCCCACAGTTACTGTCTCACGCAGCCAGTGGGACATTTGTCCAAACTAAGAAATTAACCATCCAACACTGGACTCTTCTGATTCACCAGTGCTCCCAGCAACAGCCGTTTTCTGTCCCAGTGTCCAACCCGGGAGACCAGGTTGCACTTAGTGGACTCTCTTTTTTACCTCTGGAAAGCATGCAGGGCAGATCTCTGTGGAGGAAGCACAGTCCCCTTTCTGACCCTGTGTGGGATCCACGCAGCCCCTGCCCTGCAGGCAGGCGGCCTCACAAGCCAGGGCACACGTGCTGTGATGGCGGTGGCATAGGGCGGTACGGGATCCACCCACAGCAGCCGAGGCCCATAGCACAGACAGGTTTGAGGGGCCCATGGAGCTAGGACAATCACCCACCACGTGCTCCGTGCTCTCAGGGAGCAGGCACAGGGCGCCCACCGTGTGGGAGCAAAGTCTGAAAGGATGTAGAAATAAAAAAGACCAAGTCCACCCTGGACAGCCTGAGGGGAGACCGAAAAAGATGGAGACACAGATCACTCGGATACGTGCCCCTAACATGAGGGGAGAGGGTACTGGGTGGGGGCACTTTCTGGAGGCACAGAGCTGTAAGGGAGGCTTTCTCAGGGGAGGACATAGGATGTGCAAACGTCTGCAGGCAGGAGAGTCCATGTGCCTGTGTGCATGTGTTTGTGTGTAAATTTAGGTCCAGAAAGGATGAGTGACTCCCCTAAAGTCACCCAGAGCCCAGGGAACTGGGAGAGGTGGAGGGCGAGGTGTCCACGGTGTTGGATCCTGAAAGACCAGATTTGGTGCCATGGACAGTGGGAGTCACCCAAGGTCTTAGAGGAGAGGAGTGACCCATCAGAACTCCATGATAAGCATTCAACATGTCCCCGCAGTGTGGAGATGCATCTGTAGGGGAAACAGCACCTTCCCTCAAAAAGACACATTCAGAACAGAAGGAAGAGGAAGGGTCCTTGGGAGAGGAGGGCGCTAGGACCCCTGGGTCTGTGGGAGGAGGGGCTGGGGGCCTGGACCCCTGGGTCTGAAGGAGGAGGGGCTGGGGGTCTGGACTCCTGGGTCTGAGGGAGGAGGGGCTGGGGGTCTGGACTCCTCTGTCTGAGGGAGGAGGGGCTGGGGGCCTGGACCCCTGGGTCTGAGGGAGGAGGGGCTAGGGTTCTGGACTCTTCTGTCTGAGGGGCTGGGGGCCTGGACTCCTGGGTCTGAGGGAGGAGGGGCTGGGGGTCTGGAGTCCTGGGTCTGGTGGAGGAGGGGCTGGGGGCCTGAACTCCTGGGTCCTCAGTTGGGAGGGGAATTGTGCATCCCAGTCCAGCCTTCAGTAGGGAGAGATGCAATGTGTTCCATTTCTGTCCTCTTGGGCACAGCTGTCTCTCCATCCAGGTGGCCGTGGGGGCTGGGGGAGGGGCCTTTGGACCAGGCTCTGGCCACCTGTCTCAGTCACCTGGTCAGGGAGCTCCCCCATCTGTCCCCATCCTCCTGCCACCTTTGTCATCCTCCTCCTCCTCCTCCTCCTCTGTCCACTCTTCCAGGCTTGCTGCCCCCTCCTCCTCCTCCTCCCCATCCTCACTGGACATACTCCCCAAGCCCCCAGGTCCCTCTTTGTTCCTCTCCAACCCCCAGTCGTCCCCCAGGAAGTCCAGGACAGCCAGTGGGGGGCTCCTAGTCTCAGGATCCAGATCCAGAAGCCCCTGGAGCAATGCCAGAGCTGGGGGCGCAAACTGGTCCCAAGGGGGTGGTGGTTGAGGTGGCTGGGGCCTGGTGGTCATCCAGCCAGCAAAGGCCTCGAACTCGGGGTCAGGGGCCAGTGCCACTTCCCAAGGGAAGCAGGCCGTGGCAGCACAGAAGAGAAGCACCCCCAGGCCCCAGGAGTCCACTGCTGGTCGCAGGGGCAGCGTATCAGGTGGCAGCAGGAGGCAGAGCTCCGGTGGAGCAGAGGGCAGTGGCCCCGGGGGGGCAGGGGTTGGACTGCCCTCGGGCCGGGTCAGACCCAGGTCACCGAGGGCCACACGGCTGCAGACAGGGTCAAAGACCAGCACGTTGTCTGGCTTGACGTCTGCGTGGACCAGCCCTCGGCCGTGGAGGAAGTCCAGGGCTCCGGCCAGCTGGGCCATCACCCGCTTCACCAGCAGCTCTGGGAGGCCCTGGGGTCAAGCAGAGAGGCTGAAGGTCAAGGTGCCTTGGTTCCTTCTTTACTTTGCTTCTTGGGGTTCAAGAGCCCAGAACCCTAGACCAATGGCTACCTCTAGTGTCCCCCCAACACCTTCTCCAGATCATCCTCAACCACAGCTTGCACCCACATCTGTACTCCTGTAGACCAACTCTCAGCTAGTCTCCTCACCTAGGGACCCCTAACCTAACTGGAAGCTCTTCTAGCTTCCGTCAAACTTTCTCCTATCCCTAATACTCACATCCACTCCTTACATTTCTTATCTCCTCTAAACTGACCACCCAGATCTCCAGTGAGAACCCAAATCCCATACTTAATTCTAATCTTAGTCTCATACTAATTTAGATCCCATCTCTAACTCAGACCTTGTTCTAAAGTCCCGCAGTTTACTTCATCACTTGATTGATAAATCTATTCATCCACCATACCAGTCATCCATCCAACAGTCTATACAGCAGTGTTTCCACTCAACATCCCTTCCACCAGCCAGTCAGCAATCCATAATTTATTCAATTATTTAATACCTAACATCCATGCATTCATCCCTCCTTGCTTCCTTCCTTCCATCCATCCATCCATCCAACCATCTTTCCTCCACTCACCCTTCCATCCATCCAACCACCCATCTATCCATCCATCTACTCATCTTTCCATCCATCCATCCATCCATCCATCCATCCATCCATCCATCCATCCAACCATTCACTCATCCATCCATCCACCTGCCCTTCCTTCCAACCATCTATCCACCCACCCATCCTCCCTTCCATCCATCCATCCATCCATCCATCCATCCATCCATCCATCCATCCATCCATTTTCCTTCCTCCCTCCCTTCCTTCTTTCCTTCTGTTTACACTCAACCATATCTCAAATCCAAAATCTATTCCTAAAGATGGCCCCACACTAATCTTCAAACTCAAGTACCCCCAGAATCTCATGGATTCAGTCCTCCAATGCAGTTACCTGCCTTACCTGGTCTCTTTTCTAGAGGGAACCTCATTACAGCCCATCTCCAACCCAATCTATATACATATCCACAACCATCTCTGCCTCACTCTGCAAACCCATCCATGCTCTTCTCCACACCCCTTACCAATCCATATTCAACCTTAAGCTCAACCCACCCAACTCCACCCATGCTCACACTCCCAATCCCAGTGCTAATTAAAATCTCAACTCTGTCTCCATCCCGACCCCAATCTCATCTCCACTCCCTTCATCAGGCCTGACCCATTCTCAGCCCCAACCCCAGCTCCCTGCCCATGCAAGCTTGTGTTTGGATGGTTGGATGGATTAGGGTTAGGGTTAGAGTTAGGCATGGAACTGCATTGAGAACTAGAAATGAGATCATTTGGGGGCTTAGGGTGGAGGCAGTTTGGGGACTGATTTGGGGGTCAGGATTTGAGACAGAAAGGGGGTTAGGGAGAGAGCTGGACATGGCAGAAGCAGTCCCAACCTTTGTCACCCCCTGCCTCACCCGTTCCTGCAGCATCCCGCTGAGATCCCCAAACGGTGCATACTCCTGGGCAAAGACAAAGTGTCGGGGGGTCTGCAGGGGTCCCGCCAGGGTCTGGAGCAGGCCTGGATGTGATGAGACGCAGCGGCCCACACAGAACTCTCTCAGGAAGGTGGTTCTCAGGACTGAGTCCCGAGGTAGGAGCTTCAGAGCCACAGCAGGACCTGTCAGGGAGATGGGAACAGAAGGGAACTCAGGGCGCTCTGATCTTGCTGTGGGGCCTTAGGCAAGCCGTTTAACCTCTCTGAGCTTCAGATTTCTCATGTGTAAAACAAGAGGGGCAGGGCATAGTGTCTGACCTCTCTGTGCTTCCAGTTTCTTGTTGTGTGAAGTGGGGGTTGGAGGTGACCTTCCCTGAGGACTCTTCCTGCTCTGCTGTGTGGCCTTGCACACCTGCCTTACCCCCTCTGGGCCTCAGTTTCCTCTCACATAAAGTAGGGGATATGGTGACCTGCATTCCAATCCAAGTTGTGCTCCTGCCTTGCTGTGTGAGCTCAGGCAAGTCTCTTACACTCTCTGGGTGAGCTGTGTTTCTTGGAGGATCACAGAGCTCTTAACTTTCTGAGATTCTCCTTCAAAAAGGATCCCCATCAACTCCTCCTGCGGATGCTTCTTGTCTCAGTGGCTTCCGAGAACCCTATTATGGAGAAGTCCTGGAGTTTGCCTTTGGCAGCTGAACTCACCCCCTTGGCGAGGCCGGGCAAGGAGCACGCGGCCATAGGAGCCAGAGCCGAGCTTTCGGATGAGGCGATACTGGACACGCAGATTCCTCACTGGGGTCACCCTGGTGGCTGTCAGCTCCACGAGCCGTTGGAGGGCTGTGGCTGTGTCCTCCTGTAGGAGAGGGACAGAAGTGGGGAGGGGGTGAGTCTGGGCCCACTGAGAGCAGCGCAGGAGATTGGAGGCCCAGCCCAGGGCGGAGATGGGGGGCCAGAGGACGGGGTCACTCTCCCCAGAGAGGAGGATGAGTCACAATGACTCACCCGGCCTCGGGCCACCTGTTTTTGTGTCCTGGCGGGGTTTGGGGTGATTGTCTCAGAGAGCCCGCCCACCACCATCTGTGGGAGCCCCCAGAAGCCTCCAGCTCCAACTGGGGCTGTGTCTTCAGCCCACACAACCCCCCACTCTGCTCGTCTCTCTCTCTCTGCCCTCCTCTCTCCCTGTGTTTCCCGCCCTGTGTGTCTGAGTCCATTTCTCTGGGGGGCCTTGGTCTTGCTGTGTCTCCTCGGGTTTGTGTTACTCTGGGTCTCTGATGCTTCTCTGTTTGCCTGTCTCTTCTATTTCTCCCTGTGTCTGCTCCCTGCCCCTCTCCACCTCTATCTCTGACTCTAGTTTTCTGCATCTCTGTCTCTCTGTGTCTGTCTGTCTCTTGCTCTCTCTCTTGCTCCCTTGTCTCCCATCTCTCACCTCTGGGTCCCCATCCTCGTGGTTCTCGGGCTCCCTGAGCTCCATCTCAGGATCACCTGGTGTCGGCTGGCCCTTGGGCAAACACCCCTTTTCTGGGGTCCCCCAAAAGTGACCAGCCCACCTGAGCCCCACTGCACCCCACACAGGGCCTCGCTGAGCAGAGCCAAGGTCTAGGAGCGCGTCTGAAAGGGTCTACCTCACTCTCCCTCTGTGTCTGAATTGAAAGATTTCCCTGACTTTCTCCACCCGACTCCTCTCCCCTCTCTTTCACCCTCCGGGTCTCCGTGTCCCTCTCTGTATTATCCGGTTGATTTCGTTTGCTCCCTCTGACCCCTTCTTCCCCTCTGTAACTTCTCTCAGTCTCTTCTGTACGATTATCTTTCTCTCTGTCTCTCTCTGTCTCTCTCCACCACCCTCCCTGTCTCTGTCTTGTCCTTGTTCTAGCTCTCGGTTCTCTGGGGTGGGTCTTCCTGTCCTGTCCCTGTTGGTCCCCAGTCTCTCTCTCTTATCCCCACGCTGTTCCCGCTGTTGTCGCCCGTCTGTCATTGAGGATATCCCGCACTCTGCTTCACCCTCCCCCCTTTCTCTATTTCTCTGTCCGCCCCCCCCCCACCTCGCTCTGGCCTTTCTCCCCAGTGTCTCTCCGTCTCCCTCCTCTTGTCTTTGTTCCTGACTCTCTCTCAGAGCCTTTTGTCCCTCCCTTTCTCTGGGCCCAGGACAGGGGTGTGTGTGACAGCTCAGAGACATCCTGTCCCCCCCACACCCCTCCCTCACCCCCTCTGACCCGCTGCCCCCCTCCCTCCCCCTTCCAAACTTAGACTAGCTTGGACTCTGGGCTCTGGTCCCAGGACAGAGGGGACAAAACATATTGTGAACCCCCAAGGGCTGGGCCTGAGGGCAGTGGGAAAAGGGGGCACAAGACCCTTCACACACCTTACCTGGGATGGCAGACCCACAGCTCTGCTCATTCCACCTTCCTCCTTGGGCTGGGAGTGCTGGCCTCCAGGAATAGGGAGACCATTCCCAAAGCCCTGCTCCTTAACACTGAGTGTCCAGACCCCCAGCCCCTCCTCCCTCAGTCGCAGGCGTCTAGGCCCCCAGCCCCTCCTCCCTCAGATGCAGGAGTCCAGGCCCCCAGCCCTTCTCCATCAGACCCAGGATCTCTAATGGCGGAGAGATGCGCTGGGGAAAAAGGCTTCTTTCATGTATTCAGCACTGCTGTGAGCTGACTTTGCTCAGGAGGTGGGGAAGGCTTTCCACTGGATCCTCCCAGCCACCTAAAAAGGGTGGAGATTTATCCCCAGTTTACAGAGCAGGAAACTGAGGTTCCCAGAGACCGATCGCCGTACAGAAGGTCGGAGCGGGAGGAGGTGTCGGCGGGACCTGGGCCAGGTCTGAGTGACTCACAGCCCTGCCGCCTGCTCCACTCATTTCCACACTACTACAACCCGCTATTAATAAGACGCAGCAACAACAGTCGGGAGACTCTAGAAGGATCTGGGGAAATTGGCTACGATGTTGCCCCTGGGGACCTGGGTGGGGGGAACTGGCTACAAAGCTGCCCCTCAAATCTCCGGCGGGGCTGGGGGGTGGTCAGAGGGAGAACTTCCTTTGCTTTTTGACTTTTTGAGGTTTGATTGTGAAAAGTTGCAAACGTGCAGAAAAGTTGAAAGGACGCCACAATTAGCACCCTTCGGCCCGTTGACCAGACATCACAAACGTTGACTTTTTGCCATATTTGCTTTAGCTTTGTTTTCTTTGGGGGGAATAAAGTATTTAAAGTAAATTACAGCCTATGGAAATCTTTTTGGGTGAAATGATACGCTGCCTGGTGTTTGCTTTCAAATACTCCAGCCAAAGAAAACGAAAGCCCACGGTGGGGGGTGTGGGGGGAGGGGATTGGGGGGAGGGTGGGAGGAGGGTGGGTGTTGCTAATTGTGAACAAGGGGGTTTCTTTAACTCTTTATTTTTGGTTATGCTGGCAATTTTCCCTCATAAAAAGCTAAAAGTGATGAAGTAAGCTACCGACATCATGATCTTGTACCCCAATGCTCGAGTTTATGTCTGTATAAGAGGAAAATTTCCAGCTCAACTCCAATGCTATTATCAATCACATCAGCATTAATGATAATTCCTTAAAATTGGCAGTTTCCTCAGAATCAGCTAATGCCCAGTCCATATTCAATTTCCTCCATTTTTTCCAAATAAATCCTTTAATGCTGCTTTAGTTGAGTCCATAATCAATGTCAACCTACGGCTTTGGGGGCACTTTTTTATCACTGTGTCTTTTGTATTATTTGAATTTGTCGCACAGCATGTGTTACCTCCTCAGAAACTAAAAATAAAATGAAATAATGCAATGATGACTATTTATTCAATGCTTATTCGGTGCCAGGCCCTGGATCTTTTTTTAAAAAATTCATTCAAGACTGTGTGGAGTCCTCCTAAAGCCCTGGACCAGTAGAATGGTGGTTTCCAATTTGCTGATGGAAAAACTGAGGCATGGCGATGTGGAGGCACTAACCAGCAGCCAGCGAGAGGCAGAGCCAGGAATCCGTGAGCATCTGGGGACTCCAGGCTGCTCTCTGTCCCCTGCCCAGGCAGCTTGAATGAAATAGACCCCCCACGGCCGCCTGGAGCTGAGTTCCTCCCCTGGGGACTCAGCGCCGGCTGTGCACGTGCGGGGGGGCCCCAGGGACTGCAGAGCAGCTGTGCTGGAGGCCAAAGGTCAGGCTACAGAGCCGGCCACCTGGGCCCCCGCGTGGAGGGTAAGAGGGGACGCTGCAGGCCTCCAGCCCTCCCCAGCACCCCCCGCCCCCACCAGAGGCTCACTGATGATCCGGAGAGCTTTGCACCTCCCCATTTAGCAACGCCGTCCGCGGGGTCACCTGGAGTGACCTGGAGCGGCAGGCGTGGGTGGGGGAGGATCCAGCCCTGGCCCTGGGGTGCACACACCCCTCATGAAAGCTAGCCTCTGGGCCTCCTGCCTGTCCCCTCCTGTGTCCTGCCCACCAGCCCCCAAGAGCTCCTCCTGTGAGCCTCTCCTGGCTCTGTCCCTCCTGGCTGAGTGTGTGCTCTCCGACAAGTGTCCAGCTGCCTCCGTGCCTCAGTTTCCTCCTTATGAAATGGGCGTGATTGCAGCTCCTGCCCAGAGAGTTACTGTTAAAGAAATATTTGACTTCTATAATACATTATATACTTGTAATATATAATATATTATATATAATAAAATAATAAAGGTAATATGCATTACCTTGTATAATTATATCTTGTATTATATATACTATATACTATCATATATTCCATATTACATATAGTAGAGTATATGTTTTGTAAATTATTCATATATTTTATATTTTCCCAAATAAATTTCATGAATAAAATGTACACTGAAAGATTACATAAAAATTAACTTATGCTTCAAAGATTGTGCAGTTGACAACTTAACCCACCTGCCCTCCCACCCCATTTTTGGGCCAAAAAAGAGATCAAAAGAAAAGAAAAAGAAACAGTGACATTAAAATGATTTGTCTGGAAAGAATAAGGTGATAAATTAGTAAATCAAAACCTCAGCTCTGGGCCAGCCCCGTGGCTTAGCGGTTAAGTGCGTGCGCTCTACTGCTGGCGGCCCGGGTTCGGATCCCGGGCACGCACCGACGCACCGCTTCTCCGGCCATGCTGAGGCCGCGTCCCACATACAGCAACTAGAAAGATGTGCAGCTATGACATACAACTATCTACTGGGGCTTTGGGGGAAAAAATAAATAAATAAAATTAAAAAAAAAAAAAACCTCAGCTCTGAGTAGCTATCGTGGTGCAGTAGACAGTACGGTGCTGAAGGCTGGGCTGCCTTCACTCCTGTTTTAGTGACATTGATGCTATTTTCTCTCTATTGCACCATGGAGCCCCTCTGTCCATATGTACATTGAATAAATATTGTTAAATAAAATAACAGATGAAAGCACTAAACATAGCACCCAGAATGGAGTGATGGCTTAACAAAATGATTATTATCCACAAATACTCTCATGGCAGTTACTACGGATCAGGCGCTGTTCTGGGGGCTTTACACACCTGTACAGGAAGCTCATATAATCCACATGATCTAACCTGTGATATGGGTACTATTATTTTCCAAGGCACAGACAGGTCACACGTGTCAACCATCATTGTCTCTGACCAGGTCACACAGCAGTACAAAACCCTGCTCTGGTTCCCCAGGCAATGGAATATTTTCAGGCATACACACACCAAAAATATCCCAAATAATATAATGAGCACATAGATGTCCACCACCGTCCAGCTGAAGAAATAGAACTTTTCAAATATAATTGGAACCCTCTGTGTACTTACCTCACTCCAAATCCTTCTCTTTTCTCCCAGAAGTAACCACTATGTTCAACCAGATGTTTGTTATTCTTCATTAAAAAAAAAACAAAACACTTTTGCTACATAGGTATAAATCCATAGCTGCTATAGAGTATCACCTTGCATGTTTTTAGATGTTGTGTAAATAGTATCCTGACCGTGACCTTCTGCAGCCTGCTTTTGTCCTCACCAGCTCAACCTTGTGTTTGTGAGTTTCATCTGTGATGTTAGCTCGAGCTCAGCTCTTTCCTTTGCAAAGTGTACGAACGTACTGTATTTTCTGGGCTTTTTATGTTTCTCCAGTAGTGTGCGCTTCCAAGCAGGGGTGCAGGATATTCTTATTCGTGTTGCCTTGCGCTAAGTGAAACACTTTCTCTAGGGCATTGGCCTTGAAGTGGAATTCCTGGGTCAGAAGAGAGAATGAGCAGCTTTCCTAAACACTGACACATAGCTCTCCAAGGTGGTTGTATCTGGCATTGGTTTTTAATTTTTATTTTTTGGGTTCATAGGTCCCTTTGGGAATCTGAAGAAAGCTATAGAGACTTGCACTGTCTGATGCAGAAGCCACTAGCCAGGCGTGACTCTTAAGCACCGAAAATGTGTCCCATCTGAGTTAAGATGTGCTGAGTGTGAAGTAGACTCCGATGTTAAAGATTTAGCACGAAAAGGAGAATGCAGACTATCTCATTGATGATTTTTGTGTTAATTATGTGATGACGTGATGTTTTGGATATACAGTCGATCTCATTATTCACGAATTCGTGAATTCGTTTAATTGCTAAAATTTATTTGTGACCCTCAAATCAACAATCATGGTGCTTTCACTGGTGGGCATAGAGTGGTGGAAAGTTTGAGTCCCTGATCCGCACGGTCCCCACTGAGGTTCAACAAGACAGCGTTCTGCCTTTCTTGTTTCAGCTCTCATCTTGTCCATTTTGGCAATCTAGTTAATGACATGGTTTTTGCAGTATTGTGCTTTTGTTGGTGACTTTGTGGTTTAAAATGGCCCCCAAGCATAGTGT